GGATTTAGTCTCTATTCGCCTACATCTCAATTCGCCTTCAAAAACAATGTAGGCGAATTGGGATTAGAGAATGCACCCCCTACTCTTATAATGAACCTGACTCACTGAGTCTTGATCGACTGTTGTTATAAGGATATGTAGTTGAGTAAAGAGGATTAGTGCATCCACTGAGAAGTTAAAACAGGGTTAAAATAAAATGACAGGGATTAATGCATGCGATGATGAGATGTAGTTAATTTCTCACTGTGAAATGCTAAGTTGTTATAAGGATATGTAGTTGAGTAAAGAGGATTAATTTAGAAGTTCAAACAAGGTTATAATATAATGAACAAGCTAAATTATAAAAGCAAGAGTCGCTTGGACAGACTTAGAGAGCAACTTGCTTCTGGGAGAAGATCACCCCTTCAATTCCTCGACGATTCGGAAAATGACAAATAACAGAATAAATAAGTAACAGACAAATAACAGAAATAAATTCTTTAAAAAAACTTTCTTTTTGTGTCCTTCAACTACTTCAACTAGAAGATGATGTGATGATATGATTTGATAAATAAATTATCATTTCACTGTGATCAGAAAATGACAAACAACAGAAATAAATAAATTCTTTTTGTCCTTCAACTACTTCGACTAGAAGAGTCTACTTTTAGATCATAGGGGTGCCACTAGTTCACCATTGCGTAATCAACAGTCAACAGACCATGACATGTTGTTTTAAGACTGTAGGCGAATTGGGATGTAGGCGACTGAGAACATACCAGTCCATTGTATATACAAGGTATATCCATGTTTAACCTTGCAGGACGCAAAGCCACTGGAGTGTAAATTTGTTTAGATAAGAGTGTAGGCAAAATTGGATGTAGGCAAAATGGGAACATGTCATTTGTCCTGCGCACAAACAGTTGTGCGTTTAAATCACAATAAGCTGAATAAATAAGGAATTTAGCGAGTGTAACATGCAACACCGCATTCATAATCTTCAGGACAATTCGTCAGCTTTCTGTAGTATTGGTCCACCAGTTTCGTTCACATTTCGGAGAATGCATGTAGAATCACTATGTATGCTAGTTGTGTAGAACCGGGTTAGAACATCAGTTATTAAGAGGCAACCTTATATTAATATTTTTTGTATGAGGCAACATGCATGCTTGCCTGGTCGATGCATGTCATCGTATCCCGATTGCATATGATGCATATGATGCACATGATGTCATACTGCATCTTCGACCCGTGAAGATCCGGGATAGAATTGTTCTTCAGAACCCCATGATTGTTCGGGAGGTCAGGTTCGCTGACTTGGTTGATACATGTCATCGGTTCCCAATTGGGTACATTGATGCTCATGTTGTTGATCATTGGATTGTCTGGTCCACACTCGATTATTTACAGACCGCTGCCATATAGCTGGAATATTGCTAAGCGCACCGTTAAACCATCAGCCAACTATTTCAACATTGTATCCCAACTCGAATATTTTCAGCTCGTCATCTTATAGCTTGTAATTGCTGAATCCTGCCCCAAACAACAAATATAATATACCAAATCATGAGTCAGTGTCATAATTTCTCGTCATACGACATTATGACGCATACATCCACACACAGCTCAGAGTAAATGTCACAATATCGTTAACTGATTTGTTCGCAGCTTGTCAGTTTTTGTACTCTTTTCTCAGCTCAAACCTGTATCAAATGCGTGTTTTTGAGCAGTTTATATGAAAACGAAACTGTCTATGAAGTTCTTAATAAATGTTTAAGTGGAACATGCCGTATGCGACATTTTGACATAAGCTTCAGACATCAAACACGTAGGCGTACAAACGTGGCAAGCAATACACGTAGTGCACAAAGTAAATGTCACATCTATTTCAATTAGAACCTTCCCGACCACATAAAAGTTTACTTTACAGCCTTTACAGGTTGCGTGCGTCCCCAGCTGATTGTGGTTTTAGAATTGTTGTTTGAAACAGATGCCTTGATTGAATTTACACAGAAAGGAGTGTGAGAGTGAGTTTTTAGTTTTACGCCGCTTTTAGCTATATTCCAGAAGTATCTCGGGGGTACACCGGAAATAGGCTTCACACATTGTACCCATGTGGGGAATCGAACCCGGTGTTCGATGTGACGAGCGAACGCTGTAACCATTATTCTACCCCACCGCGCCCATTGAAAGGAACGCAGCAACATGTTTGTATTATGAACAACAGTAAACTACGTTGGTAACGAACATGCCTATACCGAACTGACGGATATTAACGAACTGTTCTGTGGTGAATTCACATGGGTACAATGTGTGAAGCCCATTTCTGGTGTCCCCGTCGTGATATGGCTGGAATACTGCTAAAAGCGGCGTAAAACTAAAACTCACTCACTCACTCGATCGATATTGGTGATTGTGTGTCGCATGTATAAATTCTAGGCTGCATGTAATATTTGGGATTACACTTTATTAATAAAGTACATATGCTGGTGATCCTCATCCTTGGGGTTGCATCCCATCCGGGATTTGAAACAGATTTAGCAAACACTGTCGGAGGCAGGCACCTTATCGGCAGCCCACAAGGTCTCCGATTTAACCTACTCAGCCACAAAATGGAAATCTGACAATTGGTAGTCCGGACCATGTCTTCTGTGTACTTGTGTATCATGTACTGTTATATACCCACTACCTAAAGCTGTGAATACACAGTGTCTTTCAGAAAGTGGTGAAATGTAACATCTGCTCGGATTAATATATAGTACAGTTTCTCAGTTTCTTCAGACTTCCATTTTATGTCAGGCTAAGTGGGTTAAATCACTGCTGTTCGTTTTGGAGATTAGTTGAGGTTGTGGGTTCGAATCCCGCATGGAATTCAAGCCCAAAGAGTACCAGAATCTGTGCTTTACTGAGAAATCTAATCCCTGACAATTTGTGGAAGTGCGATGGCGGAGTGGGTTAGATCGCGGCCGTTGTGTCCTGGCGATGAAGTACCTGAAAATGTGGGTTCGAACAGCATTGTTCCTTTAGTGAGAGAAACTGTAACCCCGGAGCGAGTATTATTCAAATGCTCCTTTAATGTTTGTTCGGCCTGTCTGTACTACTCAAATGAAGTTAAGGATATCCTGATGCTTTATTATTACTATAGAAAATCTGTCGTGCCAAAGTCATATCACTATAGTGTATCAGTAACGGCATTCGTCCTACTATGAATGTTTAACTGCATATGAAAGAACTGAGTGAACTTATTTTGTCTAGAAGATATATACTCTCCCAAAAAAGAAACGCATCATGAAAATAGCAATTTCATGTAGCAATGACTTAAAACGTGATTCATTTTACAAAAGGTTTTGCTCTGTTTATGAGTCCTATGGTGTTTATGTTTTGAAACATCACAACAAAACGCACCATCCGTAAAATACCCGAATTTAACACCATGATTTTCAATTTCGGCGTGTAGTGTCACAGAATACACAATTCACATGCAATGCACGTGAAAGTTGGGGATCAGCTAGTCTCAATGATGGGTATAAAAGATTGATCGCTGTCTGTCGATTATTCACTGTATTTGGAATATTGTTGACGAACGCAAAATGCCACGTCTAAGTGAAGCCAACCGTCATATCGCTATTGGTTTGCTTGAAGCTGGCCAGTCTCAACGTGCAGTTGCCCGACGCATGAATGTTCACCAAAGCACCATTTCACGGTTCTGGCAGAGATATCGCCGGCAGAATGCGGTAGCAGATGCCCCTCGTAGTGGGCGACCTCGAGCGACCACTGCGGCGCAGGATCGCTACATCCGGGTACATCACCTGCGTCATCGAACAGCTACGGCGACCAGTACCGCTCGACAAATACCCGGATTGAGGAGGCTTTCTGCACAGACCCCTCAGGTACAGGTTGAGAGAGGCTGGTTTACGTGCCAGAAGACCTTATTTTGGCCCTGTGCTTCGACAACAACATCGTCGACATCGAGTTCAATGCTGCACCAACGTTCAGGCCTGGAACCTACCGAATTGGCGTAGGATCTGGGTCAGTGATGAATCACGATTTCTATTGGAACGACGCGATGGAAGAATGCGGATGTACAGACGTCGACGTGAACGTTTCGCCTACGCTTGCGTTCCCCAGGTGAACAGATTCGGCCGGGGCAGTGTTATGATGTGGGGAGCGATCACCTGCCGTAGGAGAAGTCATTTAGTGATGGTCCGGGGCAACCTGATAGCTCAACGGTACTGTGACGAAATCCTACGCCCACACCGCTTTCCAATCATTGATCGCCAGAGGGAGTTGTTTCAACAGGACAATGCCAGGCCCCACACAGCACGTCACACAAGAGACTTCCTCTAGAACCACAACATCAATGTGCTCCCCTGGCTCCCCCGGTGTCAAAGACGGATAAGTCTGCATTCCCAGTGTGCAATTTCGCTATATTTCATTGACTCATAAAGCCTACAAGATGTTTCAAAATAAACATAAAAATACAGTTAAAATTCCTATATGCGTTTCTTTTTGGGGAGTGTATATTTTTCAAATAACCAGGTCACTAGAAATATTTAAATGGCTGAATAAAAAAAATGCAATTACGGAAAGGAATGTTACTAAACTGACTAACTGAATACGCAGAAAACAGCTTTTAACTGTGTGATTTTAATATCTATTATTTATCATCTATAAATACCGCCACTGTATATGATTATATATTACAAACAATCAGAATTATACTGTAATTATATCAGTAATTTGGACCACATTAAAAGCGTATTATACTACTGATTGCAGAACCTTATCAGTGAGTGGCAGCGGTTCTGGAAAGAGCAAAACCTACGCATAACGTGCTTCACCCACCGAGCCATTAGAACAATTTAACTATCGCAGAAAATACCAAAGGCAATGGGTTCGGAATAACCTTTGCCACTTATCTCATAGATAAAGCTTCCTTTTACAAATAATTGCATGCCATCACTTCAACTTCGTAAACACTGTAATTATTGTCAAATAGCCATGACTTCCTGTTGTAGTGTCAGAATGGTATATAAATCGGCATTTTGGCACTTTGTCATCACTTCTGTCCATACCAAGCAGCTTGAACTATCTCTCGAACGGATTTAAGGTAACAATGTTTCATTTTCAGTGTATGATAAAATATGTTTTAGGCAGTAAAGGATGTGTATTTATAACCAGTTTGAATGACAGGTTGCTAGGCTAAATCACTAAATTGAACGAATTTAATACTGTCATATGCTCAAATCCAAAAAGTAAAGAGAATCTGTCAAAACATTTGACTTATGAAAAGGATACTGTTTGGGCGGGTGGTGGAGTAGCTTAATGATTAAAACGTCCGCTCGACCCGGGTTCGATTCCCTACATGGGCACAATGTACGAAGCCCATTTCTGGTGTCACCCGCTCTGATATTGCTCGAATATTGCTAAAAACGGCGTAAAACAATACTCACTCACTAATGTTTTGAGGTTAGGAAATTACCGAACGTCCGTGTGAAGACCGCGTCCAGTATAAGTTCTAAATGAGTCAGGTTGACACGCTGTGTAGTAAGTGTTCACCTTGGACATCGATGCCAGATGCACGCCTTCGCTTGAACGAGTCCACTAAACAATAAGTGATGTTAGCACTAAGGTGATCGTTACTCCCATATGTTGGGGTACGTCCGCTCGTCCCGGGTTCGATTTCCCACATGGGTTCAAAGTGTGAGGCCAATTTCTGGTGTCCCCCGCCGTGATATTTGTCGAATATTGCTAAAGGCGGCGTAAAACCATACTCATTCACATCTCTTATACTCTAACTTAGATTTATAGTGAGTGAGTGAGTTACTATTTAACGTCACATCGGCAATATCACAACCATATCGTGACGAAACTTAGATTTATAACACTCGTGGCGCTAAGGTTGCTTTTACAGCCAAACACAAGACAAAGCACTTACTTTTGAGGAAGGTTACGCTGTAGTTCTGGCAGCGTTGGATCGTGAAGAAGACCGGTTTAATTTTATAAGCCAAGCCATGTTCAACTGGTGACAAATCTGGTGATGTTGCTGGAAGTGTAACATATAAACAGACACCCCTGCACTTATACACGTAAATATATGGCGTTATATTGCTGTAATATCACTAAATAAGGGCCCTGTGCCTTGTCTGTGAACGTGGCCGGTGAGGAAGTCTTGAGGTTAAAGCGTTCGGGTTCTATTACCCAAATGGGTATAATGTGACGTCACGCTGTGAGCTTTTCGGATCGAAGCATTCATATATCTCGCCATTTGCTATTTTCAGTAAGTCGTGGCATGGTGAAGTCTAAAAAACGAAGTTTGTAACAATTCACTTAAAATGCAAAAAGCAAAACAATATAGGTTTGTATGTGAAAAATATCAACGTAAGAATGACGTTTGCCTTCGAGTATATTTCCGATTTTCAACTTGTCTTCCTACTCAGCTGTACCAATTTGACATATATATCTCAGCATCCAGTAGACAATCAGGTCTGGACCAGACAATCAGGTGCTTGACAATTTAAAAAACCTCCGACGCCGTTCGTCTACGATGACAAGATGTGTAGAAAATGTGCATCAAGGTTCGAAGTGCAGACCTGCGCTCCATAGCCATGTCCAGGTCCGTTATTCTTGGGTTCGAATCCGGTTTGGTTACTGTGGAGATATTTGAAACTTAAATCAATTTCCCTCTTACACTGGTGGTCATTAGATTTGCAAAATGTTCATATTTTCACCTTTCCAACTGTATGAATTCATGTCACCTGGTATTTTTGCTCCTTTCAGACTATCTGGAAGCCACCGACATACTTCATAGGACAGATATGGTAAGCTCATCATGATTATTCTTATAATTATTGCTGTTGTTACTATAGGGTTTTACCCAAGTAGAGACTCGAACCTTCGACCTCAGCCGCTAAACTGTGAACAACACGGTACCCCGTTGTCCCACGTTAATGTTGAAACTCACACACATATGTTTTGTTTGTTTGTTGTTTAATACCGCAACATTCCAACTATATGGCGGCGGGATGTAAATAATCCATTGGCTGACAATCCAGTGACTGACATCATGAGCATCAATCTTGGTTTTGGTATACGATGACGTCAACCACGTCAGCGAGCCTGATCACCTGATACCGTTAGTCGCCCCTCGACAAGCATGGGTTGCTGAAGAATAATTCTAACCTGTATCTTGACGACCCATAGAATATGTGAGTGAGTGAGTTACGTTTTACGCCGCAATCAACAATATTCCAGCTATATGGCGGCGATCTGTAAATAATCGAGTCTGGACCAGACAACCCAGTGATCAACAGCATGAACATCGATCTGCGCAATTAGGATGCGATGACATGTGTCAACCAAGTCAGCGAGCCTGACCACCCGATCCCGATGTGTGGACGAGACAATCCAGTGATCAACAGCATGAGCATTACTCTACGCAGTCGGGATACTATGACATGTGTCAACCGAATCAGCGAGCCTGACCACTCGATCCCGTTAGTCGCCTCTTACGACAAGCATGGGTTACTGAAGATCAATTCTAACCCGGGTCTTCACGGGTCCATAGAGTATGTACTGAATGCATAATTGTATGTGAACGAATATGTGCTTAAACTTCCAAGCATATTCTTTCCCCGAAGATCTTGACGAACGGCTCTACCTGAGATTTTGTGGGATCAGGGTTGCTCTTTGAGGGGTACTGTTACGCTTTCGGGTATTTATTTATAGTAGACATGTGGAAAACACATCAACATTTGACGCATCAGTGACTATTGTTATACTTGTGCATAGCTACACTGCGTATAATACTGTGGATCAATGTACAGTTCCGTAGACAGGGGGGGCGGTGGGGTAGCCTAGTGGCTAAAGCGTTGGCTCGTCACGCCGAAGACCCGGGTTCGAGTCCCCACATGGGTACAATGTCCCCCGCCGTGATGTTGCTGGAATATTGCTAAAAGCGGCGTAAAACCAAACTCAGTCAGTCAGTCAGTCCGTAGGCAGGTGATGTTCCGGGCTCATATTGGTCTTCAGCAACCCGTGCTTGTCGTAAAATACGACTAACGGGTTCCGGTGGTCAGGTTCTTGGTTGACATAATTATATGTCTTCGTATCCCGTTGCGCAGATCGATGCGCATGATGTCAGTCAATGGATTGTCTGGTCCTGACTCGATGATTTATGTCCGCCATAGACGGGGGGAAATTGCTTAATGCGGCGTTAAACAGCAACCAATCAAACCACTCAGCATACTTCTGTATGGGTGTTTCGGGTAGTTCAGTAAATCGCATTCAAAGTATTTCTGATATATTTGTTCCCAGAACTGACGCATTAGTGACAAAGAATATGACTGCTGCAAATCTGTGTGACGACTTGCCGCGTTGTTTAGGCGAACACGTCACTGGTCTTTGCATGTATTTGTGACGAGGACCAACGGTGGCGTTGGCCACGTGGTATTTTCACCCTTTGGTAGTCATTCATAAATACATGCTGTAGACGTAGTCTGAAACTTAAAACAGACTCGGCGTGTAACAGAATTTCTGACTCTATTTCATGGAAAGTGTTTTGTCGATGTTATTTTAAAAAAGCGATTCAAATAACAACGGTCTTTCGTCAGTATTCACTATGAAGAGAGTGGAATTGTGACTTTTCTGTTGTATACAAAAGCATTTTCCGTACATTCTTATGTTACTATCAGCCACGTGACCTTACATACGTCATAGTTAAATCGCGATTTTATGTCATTTTTGCACACCATGAAGATCTGGGTTAGAAAATGGTCTTCAGTAACCCATGCTTGTCGTCAGCGGTGACTAACGGAATCGGGTGGTCAGGCTCGCTGACTTGGTTGACACAAGCCATCGTATCCCAATTGCGTAGATCGATCATCATGTTGTTGATCACTGGATTGTCTGGTCCAGACTTGATTATTAACAGAACGCCGCCGTATAGCTGTAATATTGCTGAGTGCGGCGTAAAACTAAACTCACTCACTCATGCTTGCACGCATGCCAAATGTGTAAATATACTTTCAACAATATATCACTTCTCCTGCTTACTGGTATTTAAAACCAGATAAAGATATGTGAAGGTAGCTATTGTTAACTCATTGTCCCATATCTGAGACCTAGCAATAATTAATTTATTACCTGTGCACTGATTTTTCTAACCTAGTAATATTCAACTGATAATCAGCACAATGACTTTTGCAACCCAACACAAATTAACTGATGATCTGATATTTGAAACCTCATTATCTTCAAAATGATATTTGAAACCTTGCGATAATGAACTTATTACCTATACACCGACTTTTGTAACGTTGCAATAATTAACTGATAATCTTTATTGGTGATATTTGAAACATCGCAACAATACACTCGTGTTCATTTAAACAAATATTTGACAGCTGGAAATATTAACCGATAATCTGCACACCTGACAATAATCTACCCATTATCTTCACACTGATATTTGAAACATTGCCATAATGAACTTAGTATCAGTATACTCATTTGAAAACCAGCTGATAGTAACTGAATATATGTGTGGTGAAACCCATTTGGTTCAACACTCCATAGTTAAAACATGTTACATCATCAGTCATGTAGACAATCTAGCGAATTCAAAAGCCATTTCCTCATTCAAACCAGCATATCCTGTGCGTCAACTCCCGTTCTAAATGTCAGCGCCGTATTCAGTACAAGCGAACATCACCAGAGCCGAAGCAATTTGCATCTATGGTATTCACCAGCTGGATGTACACCAGATAGTGCAGTGATCAACAGCATTAGCATCGATCTGCACATTTGGGAACCGATGACATGTGTCAACCAAGCCAGCGAGCCTGACCACCCGATCCCGTTAGTCGCCTCTTACGACAAGCATGGGTTAAAGAAGATCAATTCTAACCCGGACCTTCACCGGTCCAAGGGAAAGGATATGCAACTAGCGAGTCTTTATTACCCTTGTTTAAACGGGGTGTTCCTCTTTTTCTCTTTTGCCAGTCGTTATTGTTATAGGATTAAAATCACCAGACCATATTACTCAGTAAGACAATGGGAGGGGAAAGGGGGGTTTACAGGGGATTGCCACCAAGGATGGCCAAGCCAAGAAAGACACAACTGATCTAGACTATCATTTGTACTTTTTTGTGTTCAGCACTACGTAACTGCTTATACATAAAAAATTACAAATTATTTATCACAATGATATCAATGAGAAACATAAATGTACAGAACGATGGTTCACACACAATGGAGCTACATACATGTATTTAAAGTCCAACAAGGTGTTAATCGTCGCTCAAATTATTTTGTCAACGTTTTGACCTTTGCCTGAAAAATGACGCGGACGGGGACAAACAACATGGCACATTTTTTTCACCCGGAACTAACACACTTACATAAAAAATGTCTCCATCCAGACTTGTTAGTTGGTTTGTACCCCATAGTCCCACAAATATGTTTACTTGGTTTGTTGTTTAACGCCGCACTAAGCAATATTCCAGATATATGGCGGCGGTCTGGACCAGACAATCCAGTGATCAACAGCATGAGCATTACTCTACGCAGTCGGGATGCTATGAAATGTCAACCAAGTCAGCGAGCCTGGCCACTCGATCCCCGATAGTCGCCTCCTACGACAAGCATGGGTTACTGAAGACCAGTTCCAACCCTGATCTTCACGGGTCTCCAGACTTGTATTGTCCCTGTATGGATATTTGTATAAGGGACCCGTGCAGATCCGGAGTAGAATAGGTCTTCAGCAACCCATGCTTGCCGCAAAAGGCGACTATGCTTGTCGTAAGAGGCGACTAACGGGATCGGGTGGTCAGGCTCGCTGACTTGGTTGACACATGTCATCGGTTCCAAATTGCGCAGATCGATGCTGATGCTGTTGATCACTGGATTGTCTGATCCAGACTCGATTATTTACAGACCACCGCCATATAGCTGGAATATTTCTGAGCGCGGCGTAAAACTAAACTCACTCAATCACTTGTATAAGGACATATGGAATAGAACGCTTAATGAAACTACATGTTTATCATATGTTTACCACAGTCACCAAGGGGGCGTTGGGGTAACCTAGTGGTCTATACGTTAGGTCGTCACGCCATTGCTTCATCTCCTGATCATTTAGGTCTGGATGGTATGAGATCTAATGCCTCGAGGAACATTCAACATCATTCAGCACATATATGACCAGTGTGTATTACAACATAGTAACACCACTAACAGTCTCGTTGTTCAGGTGAAATAAAGCTTCATGTGCCAAGATCCCTGTGACAGAATTGGCACCAATGCCTTTAGTAAGATAATGGCCCAATTCCTGTATATAGTATGTGCAGACCTTGAATCACACATGATGTACTATTGTTTACACATAATTTCCAGTTGAAGCTTCACACAAAGACACTTCATTAGCATTTGTTTTGCATCACTCACTCACTCACTCACCATGATTTCACATCCTACAAAGAAGAGGGACACGTCTTCAGCGTAAATTGTAAATGACCTTTTATTTAAATAATATTGACAATTTCCAAATATTGGGGTTTGATGGTTTAAACAAACTAAACGTAATGAAAGAATGCTTTGACCTGGCAACTTATCTTTTTCAGAAATTCACATTCAACGTCTTGTTAATCCTGCCCATGGTCATCACAGCAGTGGTTGATGCCAACAGAATTAAGTGTGTCATCTGCCAGAGTAAATGCGCCTTCCGTGCGTGTGTCGACATAAACAAATGCGTCGGAGGACAGGGAAACGACTGTGCGAACTATATCAACAAACCCTCTGTTCCCGTTTGCGTCAGGCCGGTTTTGAAAAACAGACTCAAATGTTTTGGCCAATGCCCGTGTTAAGTTTTGAAAGATCAAATAAACATCTCTGTCTTTATTGAGTCTTGTATAGAACAACCAGAAATTATTGAGAATTTAAAGATTGTAATTTTATATATTTTTTTTCACTCATTACTCACGCATTAAATGTGAATATTAGCTGAACATAACTCCAGATTCAAAGACAGGTGTACAGTTAGTATTTTGTTCAGTCACCATGGGCAGCAATGCAGGCTTCAATGCGGCGGGGCATACTACTGATCAAAGAAGTTACAAAGTCGTGGTCCATGCTGTCTCAATATCGGACCACCTCTTCTTTCATTTCAGCAATATTAGTCAGATTTTTCTTATTGACACTTTCCTTCATCAGTCCCCAAACATGTTCTATTGCATTTAGGTCAGGGCTATAGCTTGGCCAATCTAAAAATGTCATATTTTGGGTCCGAAACCAGGCCTGTGAATGCTTTGAACGATGTTTTGGGTCGTTGTCCTGCTGGAAAATCCAAAAATGTCCATATAACACGTGAGCAGATGGAAGTAAATGTCCCTCGAAAATATCTGTGTACCGCTCAATGTTCATATGTCCTTCAAATACACAGAGGGGCGTTGCCCCTAACACAGATATGCCACCCCACACATTTCGGACTGTACTTTGGGCGCTGATACGAAGGTTTTTCAGGTTGTTTGGTCCAGAATTTCAGTGTATAAGGAAACAGCCACACAGAACTTTCATCTGAGAAAATCACATTGTCCCAGTTAAAATATCTATGCTGTAAGCACCAGTTCAACCTTCGCTCCTTTTGTTCAGGTTTCATGATCGGTGATGGAATTCCTCGACTTTTCTGCCAACCCATTGCATGCAGCTCACTTCTAATTGTCTCCTAACAGACAGCTACAGTTCCTCTATCAATCATATCCAGCCTTAAGTTTAAACTCCTTCGTTTGTTTTTAGAAACAAGAATACCAAGCCGCCTCCTGTCACCGACAGTCAATTTTCTGGGCCTCCCTGGTGCTTAATGCCATACCCATTTGCAATATTTTTCAAAACGCGATAAACAGTGGACAAGGGGATACCTGTTCTACTTGAAATCACTTTAGCTGATCTGATGTCCTTGTTATAATACTCTAAAATCAACTTCCTCTTCTCTAAATCATCCATACTGAGGATCACTGAAAATGTCGGCTGCTAGCAAGTAAACAAAGGGGGATAACTCTTCACAACTAATGAAAAAGGATTAACGGAGTTGTCTCTCTTGAATGAAACCAAGTTCTTGATAGCTGGTCAAGGTTGTTTATACCAGAAATCCAATCCAGAAAACATATTCCTAAAATTCTCAATAATATCTGGTCATACTATATATCATATATCACGTACTGTTTAAAAAGAAAACGTAGATCGTCCAGCGAAACAGAAATATTTATTCTTCTGCCACGTTTTGTTTACGGAGCCGTATTCATCAACAGTATAATATAACTTGCGGAGACTTTGTCAAGCGGGTATCGGACGGCTATTGCACCGTATCCGCTATTCAGAGATGTTTCCAAATAGTTTTTGTCTGTTCGAAAATTCCATGACAAGAACTTGGACATAAAATAAGGTTGTGGGTGATTTCTGATACATGCCAAAATGGAAACAAACTTCTTGCCCATATTTTGTATGCTGATCAATTAAAAGCTTATGCGTGCGGCCTTTTAACAATCAAATGGTTACTAAAGTCAAGAATACACAGTGCCAAAAGTCGTTATCTTGTAATACTTTTTCCTGAGAATTTTGGAAGTTGGCGAGACAAACTGGGACTCCCGCGCTCGTTTATACAATTAAGATAGGAGCTTTCCTCAAACGTGGGTGAAACTGTATTTCTTGTATATAGATCTTAAAACACCCTGAACGCACTTTGATGCACACCTAATATGTGTCCGTGGCCAACCTCAGCCTTTAATGTCCTCAGCCGGCTGCTGTGAAATTCTGGTGATAAGTATTGTATTTCATACTTTTGTGGATAACTTCACTTGTATGATTCAAGTCATCGGATAGTATGCGCTTACGTAATCAAATTTATGACCTTTGTCCAAGAGTTCACGTCCCTCCCCCGGGGTTGTTTTCGTTTCCGAAACAGACTTAATAAGCGGAAGAAACCAGTAGGTTAGGTCAGCTCGTCAGAGGAAGGCATTCTTGTTGAAATTCAGATTGGATGTCCCAAAACATGTGTCGTCTTTGAAACTGGGTCTGCCAGAAAACGGAGCCTATTGCCCCAGATGAGCACATCCCTAAACGGTCATTACACTGATCAGGATATAACTTCGAACTAACTCATTTTGTCCATAGAGGTTACATCCTATTAAAGAATCGTATAAGTTGGGTGAATGTTTCTTGTTCATTACGATTAAATGTTATAGTGATATCCACTTTGGACAATTCAAAAAGATGAAGCAATGGTTTTAAATAGTTACCTCTCGATGTTTCGGGAACACACCAGTCATGCAAACACTTATCTATTGAGTGGTATTTAGAAGTTGGTGTGAAGAAGAACGGAGAGAGTTCTATTGATATACAACGTCTTTCTTATTAATATGACCGACGTTTCGGTGTAGCTGCTAACACCGTTCAATCACTTGCTTGATACCGATGTTAATAGCTACACCCAAACGTCGCTGATATTAATAATGAAGAAGTTGTATATCAATAGAACTCTCTCCGTTGTTCAATATCTTCCTTGTTTATTTGGGGGCGGTGGGGTAGCCTAGTGGTTAAAGCGTTGGCTCGTCGCGCCGAAGACCCGGGTTCGAATCCCCACATGGGTACAATGTGTGAAGCCCATTTCTGGTGCCCCCCGCCGTGATGTTGCTGGAATATTGCTAAAAGCGGCGTAAAACCAAACTCAGTCAGTCCTTGTTTATTTCCACGATGGACACTAGTAGCTAATTGTTTATTCATGCAGCCAGATAATCGATACAGTTTGTCATCACGGGAAAGTAAACTATACCTTCATTTAAGGTATTTAGTTGTATGTGTATTTCCTACACGGAAGCTGCCTCCTATCCAACTGGAAACTGGTAATCATTTTGATAACGCATCATGTACTTTCATCATTGTCCACCAAGACCCTAGAAGGTAACTGGGATACAAAACATGTATGTACATTGCTTTATAATTTTCGTGCTTTCAAGTTTACACAGATTCCCGAACGTTGGTTGGTTGAGAGAGCGGTCATGTGATCTAAATTTCAAGGTTCATTACTCTTGAACCCCTATACTTGTGTAAACACCGTTCATACGTGTGTGAACGTTTTTCGCTTCGGTTTCAAGGACCCCCAATAATTGGTGATACCAATTTCGCGAACGAACCTGTTTCAAGTCACCCCAAGTTTGGCAATGTCACTACCAAACGGATTGCCGAACATTGTTCCTTTTCACAGGAGTTTAATGTCTCGCAGTTTGCGGGTTCATCCGGCGGTTTTCTGCCCCGAGGTCTGTTTAACAACTGCTAAAAAATTTCACAATAAACAATCACAAATAAATAGAATACAACAAGATCTGTTTCCTATTCGCCACGCCGCACAACTTCGAAGTCGGTCAGTGTATTATTACGCGGTCAAACAAGGTATTTACAAGTGAAAAGGTACAATGCCAGTTTGTTAAAATGGTATTGTTATTGCTTCTGATATTTGTTTCTGTTTGATTCTGTTATTGATTATACTTATCAAAGCAGTTTCAAACCTCATAACGAATTTGTTGTTATATTTTAAAGATCGAATACTTTGAGAACTATTTCTTCAAGGGTTGGGATACATGTGTAAAAATAAAATCGCTGTGTATACAAACATCGCTGCAATACGTACGTTCTTGAACCAAATGGCATTACAACATTTTACAGGTATTAAAACACACTAAACAATGATCATCTACAAGTGGGTGGAAAACGTATGTGTAAACTTCAAAGTGCGAAATTATAAGAATTGAATGTCAGTTTGTGTGTTTGCACTGAAAAATGAACGATGTCAAAGCGTTGTTCAAACTCTCGCGTGAACTCGCTCGTAAACTCGCTCGTTCACACGAGTTTGAACACCGCTTTGACATCGTTCATTTTTTCAGTGCAAACACACAAACTGACATTCAATTCTTAAATGACTTCAAAACCTTTTGTCCTGGTTAGTGGGAAATCATGCTGATGATATCTATACGTTTGCACTGACAGGGTTCGGAGCGACTTGACGAGAAGAAACGTTGATTACATAGAAGAAATATAAATTATTTCACACACGCGGTGCCTCAGTGTGCTGAGTTTCAAATGAGAATCTTACATGTCTGAACTAATAGTTGAAGTACAGAAACCACTTAATGTCAATATGGTTTAAAAAAAGAAAGGCATCAAGTGTTAGTCTAGACAGGAGCTTGAATATTGATCCATTTTCATCTCATATCAGTCGTAGCATACCTTTGGTGGGGATGTCAGATCTTCCATGATGGATGGGAGTAATAATTTTGAGATGCTTTGACTGTTTGTCGTGGCTTTAAGATCGTTGGGTTGTAATATGTACTGACATCTTCTAAAGACCCACGCCTGTGGCACGTTTCCAGACTTTGACAGTTCTTTCTCTGACATGATCACGGTCACAAATATATTTAATGTTTTGAAACCGTCCCAATACACAACCTCTCATTGTGAGTGTGAAAGGTGCTCAATAGCAGAAAACCTTAACAAACCTCAACAATGAAACAATGTCAAAGATAACTAATATTCCATTTCGAAAAGAGTTAGATTTACACCTCTACCATGAAGTAAATCATATAATACCAGTCCATTGGGAACACACTCGTGGCTAATGTTACACGTTGGTAGTACAGCCCACCTGAGTGATCGCCGAGTCCATGCACCGACCACTCGATGCATGTTGTCGTCCTGAACGATTATCAGAGAATTTGAAGACGCAGTTAGAATTGGTCTTCAGCAACCCATACTCGTGGTACGAGGCAACGAACTGGATCGAGTGGTCAGGTTAGCTGACTTGGCTGACACGTCATAATATCCAAATTACATACAGCGATATTCATCAGTGG